CTTGAACAATTAGGCCAATTTTACATAAAAATGCAGACTTCCAGGCAATGCTGGGCTGGAGGGAGATGCCAGGAGGAGCCCTGGGAATAGGCCTTCAGCTCTCTCACACTATTTGGCCCCCAACACTCCCAGGAGTTTGCACATCTGCATATGGCCAGCTGGCTGGGGGTGGCAAGGCGCCCAGACTTTGCCCTCGTGATTTTGGCCATATTGGAGGTGCCATCTGTTCTTGCCAAGGGGAATGCTGTCTCACTGCGTCTCTACACCACGTCTCCCTGGGGCTGCAGCGGCCGATTTCTCACTGCCTAGCCCCCAGCATCCTCCTGAGTCCCTCTGGGTTCCCCTTTCCTGCTGAGCGTGCCTAGGCACTTAGCAGGCACCTGCTGAATACCTGATTAGCTGCTGCCACGTGAGGGAGAGGGGCTGAAGTGCTGGCTCACCCCATGGCTTCTGAGGGTCCTGCCTGGTGTTAACAGCTGGAACACAACCCCACGTCAGTGCCCGCGCTGCGGTGGCAAGGCCTGACCACGCCCCGAGCCCCCGACTCCAGGTCAGGTGGGTGGATGTCCACCTCGGCCTAGAAGACGTGGAGGAAAAGACGGTCTGTAACATTCCAGAGCTCACGCCCGACCTCTCCGTCGCTCGGGAGGTTCTCTCCATTTCTGGAAGGAGCGCGCATCTGGAAAGACCAGACCACACAGGCTCTGGGGTCGCAAAGTCTCGGGTCCTGACCCCGCCTTTGCCTGTTACCAGCTGCGTGCCCTTGGGCATGTCGCTGTAACGCCTGCCCCTGCAAGACACGTGACATGCTGCAGGATGCGCTCAGAGGGCGTGGCACAGGGTGACGGCCACTGCGTCAGGGCTGGTATCCACTGCGTGCGGTCTAACGTGCCCTGCGTAGCCAGGCCCGGAGGAAGGATTCCATGTGGCATGTCTTCAAAGAGCGCCCCCCGGTGGCAGCAGGAGGTGCCCAGAGGTCCTCCAGCCAGAAGCAAGCGCTGTTCCTGCTGCTCCTCTTTCTTCCAGGAGCCCGTGTGCAACGCTGGTCAGCAGAGTCCGCGTCGTGGCTGGGGGAGATGCCTGATTTGTGACTGGGTCTCACACGCCCTAAAGAACGAACTTTCAGCTGGGGGATTAGATCCAGGTAAGGACTCTCACTGACCCCCGAAGAATTCTTTCTGTGTCAAAGCAAAGGGTCCCCTTCATGTCAGCTTCAGGACTTTCTCATGGGCACCCCTTATGTGGGTGTCCATTTCTACACCAAATCACACCTGTTAGCGACATTTTCTGCCTTAGCGCATCTTCCCCGGCTAAGGAGATGCTACAGTGTGAATCCATTTCAAGGTTTTTGAACAAACAGTTATAAATACTTCAGCCTCGCTTTGCCTATTAAGGAAAATGCCATGTGAGGTAATTATTTTGCCTCCATCTGACAGGAGGATTTGCACAGAGGTCAGGATCATGTTAACCTTTGATCACACTTGGAAACCTTAACCTGGGTGGTTTTCCTCTGCAGCACAATTATTCCTGTGGCCCGACCTGCCAGGCGCCGGGACCCCTATGAGAAAGATGACAGTAAAATGGGGGGCAACCTCGAGCTGCTACTGACTGCATTCCCGAAGTAGTGCCGCTTAATTTTCATGGAAGGTCGGCCTGTACCTAAACACGGATCTCGGGTCCTGCTTGTCTGCATCACCTTCTAAACCGAGGCCAGGCCCTCGTCTGATGTATTTCTGCGCCCCTGGTGGCACCATGCGTGGCACAGTCAGGCACGCAGGATGCTCTCTGAACATGTGACTCGCTGGGGATTTGAGCAGCACTTGGTGTGGTGGGCGGGGCCATGGTCCAAGGCTGCCTGAGCCTGGGACCCCTGCTCACCCACCAGACACCTCCTCCGGAACATGGGCCTGACGATGTGTCCCCGGCGAGGTTGGGCGTGAGCTCCGAGGGAGAGCATGTGAGGGGCCTGGCACATGGGAGACCTGCGATAAATGGGGGAGCGCTTCCTCTGCTCTCGCTTGCACAGAGGATCAAAGGAGAGGGATGAAGGCTTGTGAACGGAGGGCACTTAGGGCCAGGCCACGTCCCCTTGTGTCCCTCTCTCTGCTGGCCTGTGCCTGACGTCGCTCCGTGACGGTGTTGTCAGGCCCCTCCTTCTGAAGGCTCGTTCCCAGGTCCCTGTCATGACAAGGCCAGGCCCACACAGGCACCGCGTCCTCTGCTGACTTCTAAGTGGCAATCAACTTCTTCGTTCGAAGGGTCTTCCCTGGCCAACCTGGCCTTTGCGGTCCACCAGAAGGACCATGCACACAGTAGCAGCCAGAGCTTCCCAGAGGGGCTATGGCAGACGGCTGCAGGAAGGTTGCCGTCCAACGTGGCAAATGAGCAAATGCACCACGACGACAGGAGGACCCACTCGCCCAGGACAGAAAAATACTCCAAGGCACAGACAACACACTTGGAGAGGAGGCCTCCTCATCCTCACTGCACAGGCGAGAACACTGAGGCTTGGGGTGTTAGGTGACTTGACCCAGTGGTAGAAGAAGCACCCAAACACGGCGACGGTAGTTCTAGAAAGCGCTCAGCCGAAAAAGCCATCTTGAAAGGTTACCTGCTGTACGGCACCATCATCGGACGTTCTTGAAACGACCGAGTTATGGGATGACAAATAGGTGCACGGTTGCTGGGGGCAGGGAGGGGCATCAGGAGGGAGGTGGATGTGGTTGGAGAGGTGGCGGTGAAACTGAACTCATCTTCCCTGGGCTGTTGGGGGTGTGCACCTACACACGTGGTTGAGTTGCAGAGAACGAAACACACACACACACAACTGCGTCCAAGCAAAAAAAAAACAGAAAGGCGAGGAGTTAACCGAGATCCCAGATACATCACAAGTAGGTTGAGGTGCGCTTTGGAAGGCTGTGGGAGGTTACGGAGCATAGTTAGATGCCGTCATGAGTACAGTACAAAGGCGTGTACACCCTTGTCCCCACAAGCTGTGACTCTGTTCACTTCTCTCCATAAAAAGGGCTTTTGCAGATGTGACTAAGTCAAGGATTTTGCCATGGGGAGGTGATCCCGGGTTACCTGGGTGGGCCCCATGTCATTACAGGGTCCTTAGGAGAGGGAGGCTAGGGGACTGGGGCGAGAAAGGACAAAGATTGGAAGACACTACACTTTGGGCACAGGGGACAGAGGAAGGCACCTCGAGTGCAAGACTGCAGGCAGCCCCCAGGGGCCGGGAAAGGCCAGGCTGTACATCGCCCCAGAGCTTCCCGAGGGAGGGCAGCTCTGTCCACAACGTGACCTTAACCCCGTGAGACTGATTTTGGACTTCTGGCCTAAGGAACTGTAAGAGAATATATTTGTATTGTTTTCACCCACTAAGCCTGAGCTTATTTGTTACAGCAGCAATAGGAAACTAATACAATGAGGAACATGTTTAAAAAAGACAATAAGCGTCAATTATTTGCAAAATTCCACCCACGTGGAACACTGCCACCCCTGGTGAGACTAGATGGCTGAGGTGTCAGTGAGCACAGGAAGCTATTTGAGCAGCTGAGACCTGTCTTAATGAAGTTCAAAGCCACCTGTAGTCCTGAAAATGCTGCTATTCCCTGTCCCCAAGCTTTTACAGCATCCACTGGTGTTACTGGAGCTGGCACAGCTCATAATCACAGCCTGTTGAATCCTTGTTGGCCAGTGGACGGCGTCACAAGAAACACTGCACTGGTGGGGGCGGGAGTTGCTTCTACTGTAACACCTTGCTGTTCGTGCTTGAAAACAGGACTGTTTAAGCTCATGTTATGCCTGCAGATACCACTGTGTGAGTTCTTTTGGCAGGGGGGAACCTCAACAAATTACTTATCAAGATAAGACAATACCTTTGGCCACGTAATTCAGAATTTAAGTTTCTAAGTAAATGGTCTGTTTCCACATGACCTAGGAATATAAGAAACAACCAGCTCTTAACAAAGGAATATAAATTAGTTTCCCATTTGGAACACTGGCTACTATTGCGGTTTTCCTAGGTGCCAAACATTGTATCAGGCACTTGACTCCTCCCAGCAACTCCACTTGGAGTGTACTACCGCCCCGACTTGCCGCTGCAGGACCCCGTGGGCTCAGACAGGGTAAGCGGCTCACCTCAGTTCCCCCCGCCGGCCAATAGCAGAGTCGGGACTGAAGCGCACACTGATCTGAGTTCTAAGCTTGTGCTTTTTCCAAGGTGCCGACTGCCTCCGAGAGGGGACAATATGCTAAATAAACACCATAAAAGCTGCCAACAGCTAACATGAGAGCTCTGTAAAGGGCCGAAGGGTGGCCTGACTTCGAATCCATCACACTGGCGCCCAGCTGGGAAAAGACTTTCATCCGCAGGGCTGTGTGGGGAGGGAGCTGGCCCTGCAGTGACCCTGGGGACCGGCCCCTTCTGTCACTGGCATGGAAGAAGCTTCATCAGACAGGAAGTGAGTCACTCAAGGAGCATTATAACAAGGCCAGGTGGTACGGCCTCGCTGTCAACATGCGCATCTCAGAACCTCTTTGCTCATAACCCCTTGCATGCGTCCTTCCCAGAACAGACACCGTGGTCAAGGCCAGCGCATCACTGAGAGCACTAATCGCTCTGATTTCGCTCAAGAGTCATCGCAGGAACCAGCTTTGACCCAGTTTTCCCACAAAGAGCATTTTCACAAGCAAGACCCCCACTTCTCCGCCCAGCGGCGTTTAAGTTGTTCTGACCGTGGCCACGCGGGAGACACGCTGCTCCAGGCAGCCAGCCGACGTGTACACACACGGAAAACAGAAGTTCCCCAAACCGAGACGTGCTGTGTGTCACGAGGGGTGCATTTTTCCCCTGTTCTGCTCTGTTTAGTCCAGTTTGGTCTGTTCTGTGGCTACTGCCCCACCCAGTGACACGTCAGTGACCTCCGACCCCACGAGGGAGCTGTGGTGGCAGTTTGAAGGCGCTGGTCTGGAAAACAAGGAGAATGGGGCCCTACCTCTGGGGCGATGTAATCTGGGGTCCCACAGAAGGTTCTGGTCGTGACCCCGTCCATCATGTGCTCCTTGCACATCCCGAAGTCAGCGATCTTGATGTGCCCTTCGGAGTCCAGCATGACGTTGTCTAACTTCAGGTCCCTGCAAGGAAGCGGCAAGGCGTCAGGGCCCCGCCCACAGCAGGGCGTGGCTTGCTCTGGAGCAGGATAGTTGACTAGCTGCCGTCGCCATGGCATCTGAACTACAAGTCCCAGGGGAGTCGGGACCAGGAATTCTTATTACTAACCTCTAGAGCCTAATGTGGCACTTAGGGATACAGGAGTCACTGCCCAGATGCACGCTGAAGGGAAGACTAAATGGCTGAACCAGCAATTCCCAACCACGGCTGTACATGTGAATCTCCAGAGATTCTGGTTAAGCAGGTCCGGGCCACACACGTGTCCCTTCTCCTCTGCCCAGTGCCATGTGTCCTTTTTGTCACCTTCCACTTAACACTGGGGGATGTGCCTCTTTCTCGGGCACCAGACTTTCACGAGGGCTGACAACCAGAAGAATACGATCTAGTTTTCCCCTTGCCTCTCTCCCCCTAGTGCCCCAGTGCTTATCTAGCTGAGCATCTCTCAGAAATTCAGGCTCTGTGTTGCTGCCCGAACTCCCTTCCAAGCAAAAGGCGGAGAGAGAGCTGTTGGTGGAGAGAAGGGCATGTTTTCTTGTGGGAACCAGAAACGAGAGGACTCCTTCGAGGCCCAGAGATCAGAAGGTGGTTCTGGTTTCCCCGAGGGTCCCCGCAGGTCTCTGCTGCCTTGGGGGTTGTCGACGCTACACCTGGTGTTCCCATCATGGAATCACATGCCCACAGAGACCCAGAGGTCCAGCCACACGCTCCACTGCACGGGTGGTGGGGGAGCATCGCCACGCACCTGTAAATGATTCCTTTTTTATGAAGAAAGAACAGTCCAATGGAAATCTCTGCTGCGTAGAATCTGCAAGAGAAAAAGCTCGTCAGGCCTCGTCGGACGCCTGGACACTTTGTAAACCCTCCCCCCCTGCCCCCCGCAGTTCACCTGTCAAAGAGGTAAAACAACGCAAGACCTGGGGCCCTCAGGGGTCAGCACCGCCCCTTGCTTGTTCTTCCAATTCTTCACCCTTCCCTCTGCCGTTTTTGTCACTACAACTTCTACGAATGATACAGCTGATAAAATCAATGAGATGAGTTTATTTCCTGCCCAGAAACAAGCACTTCTTGTCTGGGGCAGGTGCACAGGTGACTTCCTGCTTAAGAGAAATTCCTAATACAGTCTTTAAAGGAGTGGATATTAGACGCCTTCCTGTCAGGACTGCGGCAGAACGCACTTCCCTCTGCCTGCTCACGCGCAGAGGGCAGCAGTGTCCACGCACGCGGTTACTCCCTGGAAGGCAGAGCACCGTGTGCGGCGGACTCTTCCCCTGCATTCCTCACCCCACCCCACCCCGACCCCGGGCGCCAGGATAAATGGGACACTGTGATTCATGCCCGAGGTTACCGTTTTGAATAATTCATAATAAAAAGCAGTTACTGCCATTATTTCAAAATTGCTCATAGGTTATTATCTGAAACTCAGTATAAATGCTGAAGGATGTTTCAAAATTTGTATCGTATTTAGGAGTCTCTGAAGTCTGAGAAGCCACAAAACTGCGGGCGCGAACATCACACCGGGAGGCTCAGCAGGAGCCTGAGTCTCTGTCTGCCCGGGCAGAGCACCCCCAACAACAAGGACCGGACCCTGAGTGGGGAGCAGGCACCTCCTCTGAGGGCCGGTGGGAGGCGGACAGATCGGAGAGGAAAAAGAGGTGGGATTATAGGTGACTTTTACATTATTTTTCATGCTTTCCTCTTTTTTAAAAAATATTACCTTTCTGGCCACCCCAATACAATGAGAGTGGACTGCCCTCTATGTTATCTACACCACGAGGAGGCTATTCTGCCGCTTGGTCCTAGCGCCATGCCCCCCAGCTCCACTGGGCAGCCTCAGCACGTTAACGCGCTCTCACTAACGACACGAGGGCTGGGATGGGGCAGGCGTTTCTGGAGACTGGGAGGGAGGAAGACAGGAAAACCTGCCTTTGCATTTTCTACACTTGCTACCAAAGAACTCCTGCCAGCCTCCGGCCACCCTCCCCGGCCGGTTCTCCACACCGCTGTGGTGTTTCCTCGGCCGCAGCGCAGGCTCGGTCCCAGCACCTGCACACCTGACTCACCAGCGTGCATGCCACTGTGCATCTCGTGGGGGGAAAGGAAATCGCTATTTGTTTAGATTGGCTCCTGCTGAGTTTCCGGGGGCTTCCTGGCCCCTGAAAACGGGATGGTTTTTCAGGTCCCCAGGTCCCGGCTCTGTCTCCTGTGTCACTGACTCACATCCCAGCATCCGAGGAGCATCCCAATGCAACCTTCAGGCAAAGCTCCCCATTCTCCCCCCAGAACGCCTCCTCCTTGGTGGCTGCCCCGGATGCTCCATGGGGCAGCACCTGAAGAGGTTGCTCTCCCTCACCTCCAGTCTCTGAGTTCTGGTTTTCTTCCCCCAGAAGGGCCCTCAAACACAATGACTCCTCCAGCTCCGCCCCTTCTCCTGTCCCTTGACTTTTCTCCGGCCACACACTCCCTCCCATCCTCCTCCTCCTCTCGGCCAGAGGGCTGTGTGAAAACTTAGCCCAGTGCTGTCAGGCCTCACCGACGCCCCACCCAGCCTTCCTGCTTCTCAGTGGGACACCTGCGAGGCCTGTCACCCAGCACCCCTGCTCCACTGCCCTCCACGTCTTGCTCCATCTCCTGAGCTGCTGCGATGGGTAGTCCCCGAGGACGGTCTTCCCTCCCCCACCTTTGGGGCTCTGCGTGGTGTCCTGTGTCACCTCTAAAGCTGTGGCAATGCACCACCGTTGTCTGGAGACCTCTCCCACTCCAGGGCAGACGGTGGGCTCCCCAAGGACCCGGGTGCTCACTCCTTTCACACGCAATAGACGAGTGGCTGGCCGAGTCCCTCTCCGGTTTACCAGAGGCTTACCAAACCTCTCCTGAGGCTTACACACTGAGATGGACTCCGCTATGAACCCGCCCCCACCGCAGGGCACGGCGCCCCACCGCAAGTGCATGGAGCCCCCGCGCTGCTGGCCCAGCAGAAGCTCCCCGCGGGCCGCTGCGTGTCTGAGCGAAGGGACTTGAACGCATACTCACACTGCCTGTGGCTCCTTGAATTTCCCTACTTGCTGAATGTGGTACATGAGGTCCCCGCCGTTGACGTATTCCATGACGAAGTACAGCCGGTCCTGCGGGCCAGAGGGCGACACGTGAGCTGCGCTGCTCCATGGGCGGGGCATCGCCCCGCGCCCTCCCAGACCCGGGTCTGCTCCCGCATCGGCGAAACGTGGGGCACGCCGACAGAGTGGGGTGCGCCCACAGAGGAGCGCAGTGCGGCCCCTCCATGTGTGTGTCCCCAGGTCTGCCCCTTCTCCCTGCCTCAGAGGGTCTTCCCTGTTCTCCTACACGCTTCACACATGTCCAAGTCAGGGGCGATGTGAGGAATCCACATGGGCCAATTATTTAATTTTCACGAGTGTTCTTGTTCTCGATGCCTAGGAGGCCTGCGAGAGCAAGGCAGCAATGCGTTTAACTGGATGCTTCTGAAAACAAACCTTGGGCTCAGTGACATTTACTGTGGGGGAGGGGACAGTCGACGGAGAGGCCAATCAAGCGTTCTTCTGCCTCCACAAGGAGCCCAAATGTGGTTCTGGACGTCCTCTGTTGCTGCTGTGCTGAGTGTTGGCCCCACAACGGGCGTACCCCATAGAACCACGTAAATGTGCATATTTATGAGGACACTATATTGGGGCAGGTGGAGACAGAGGGGGTCTAATGGTGAAATAAGTAACCACACAGTGCATCCAGGTGACAGGTGCTCACCTCTGCTCGCCCCTAGAAAGCACCACCGTTTCTCGGAGGTTATCACGCCTGAAAGTGCTGCTCAGGGAGGACAGCAACGACGAGCTGCAGCTGACAGGCGGGACAGCGCTCTGGGAGCCTCAGTGTCTAGCTTTCCTGTTATGAACTTTAATTCCACCGTTATTTCTCTGCTTTGCAGCTTTCTGGAGCATAATCAGTGTAACCAGGGTTACGGGATCTGGGCTGGGATTCAGGGCACAGCTCTCTCTCAGCACATTGCTCCTCTCTCCTTGGCGCTACCTAGGTGCCGCTGGGAGCAGGGAGCGGCGGGCCACTGGCGTTCGGCTGACACGCAGTGGCCTGCGCCCGGCTCTGCAGCCCCACGCTGAGACTGTGTGGCCGCCCTGCCATTTTGAGATTCTAAAATCCAAGAGCATTGAGGGCCATCTTCCAACAGATTTCAAAGGGAGAGAGAAAATGGAAAGTCAATTTCTGGCCAATGGGAAGATGAAGACAGTAATAATCACAGCAGTAACAGTTACAGCTACTGATTATTGAGTCATAAGTTACAAGGACAGCGGCTGCGGGCTGGACAGTGCATCTCTGGGGATGCTTCACCTCGGCGCTGTCTCAGCCTTCACATTTCTTGCAGGCCGAGTGCGAGCACCAAGCCAGGGCCCCGGCCCGCCACTGGCTGGTGAGTGCTCTGGAGCTTTCTTCATCCTCTGCATAGCTCTGCCATATGACAGGGCTGGAAACTTTTTCCTTAAAGGGCCAGACAGGAAATAGTTTAGGCTTTGTGTGTGTGTCGCAAGGACTCAGCCCCACCTTTGTGGCATGGACACAGCTGTAAACGACAGGTAAGTGACTGAGCATGGCTGTGTCCCCACAGAGCTGTTTGGGGCTCTGAGATGTGCATTTCACCTGCTTTTCCCATGCCATGAAATAGGATTTTTATTATTTTATAAACCTTTCTTAGAGTTCATGGGCTGTGCTAAACAGGCCAGATTGCCAACCCCTGCTGTGTGCTCTGAGAAAGAACACACTCTTTCATGAAACCGAGTCTCCGCGTGCCCCAGCGCAGGGCCTGGCAGCTGGCGAGCTGGCCTGCAGACAGCCGGCTCTGTGAGTTGTTCCATTCTGTGTCTCTGAGTCCCAGCACACTGCCTGGCACGAGGAAAGCCTCTGATAAAACGTTTGCTGAATTAAATGGAATGGATGCCAAGTCTCTAAGTAGGGCACATCCCAGGGAGGGGGCGCTCCAAATTTACCAGCGGCACTTGACTGAGAGGTTGTTTCCAGTCACCTCTGGGTGGCAGAGAAGACTGCAGGGCCCAGCGGTCCCCAGATGACGCCTTTCTCCAGCCTTCTTTTCGGGAATGAAGTTGCTGGGGTGCCGAGGGCACCGGGGCTCAGGGAGCCCTGTGGGCGTGCTGTGCCGAGCACAGCCATGAGCCCGGGGCCTTACCACTGTCTGGAAGCAGGAGTGCAGCTGCGTCAGGAAGGGGGGCTTGTCGAGCAGGGCCAAGACCCGCTTTTCCACCATGGTGCACTCCACGTCGTCGTCTTGAATCACCACGTCCTTCTTCAGGATTTTGATGGCGTAGAGTTCTTCTGTTCCCTTCCTGTCAGCCAGCATCACCTGAGAACAGATGAGAGTGGCCAGGCGTTCGTCAGGTGACAGTTCAGACAGTGCAGGCAAATGTGGAAACGTGTGGTATAAAAACAGTCATCAAGTTCCACATCACGCGCAGACTGTGAGATACTGCAGGTCACTGCACATTCAATTTCTCCTGCACTGCGTAGTTTTTAAGGCAGCAGGATCTGCACACTGTGCAGGCTGTTGCCACACGGTGGCGCTGTTGTGACCGCTAATAGAAATATGCAAATTATAGCGTTAGGGTTAAATTAGCATTTTTTCATGGGCATCCTTATAGCCAAAAAAAAGTGACTGACCTTTATATGCTTCTGACCAGTCAGGTACTAACCACAAAGAAACAGGCAGGATAGAAATCAGTTCCTGGATTTATGGTGGGATTTGGGGCCAGAAAAGCCTAATGCAGACATATAGGCTGAAGAAACCCAGTTCACTCTTGTGATTATTACATTTGCTTACTACAAGTCGACATTCAAGTTTTAGTTGTGAAAACTGCATTCAGCCAACCCTGCGGAGCACCCAGGCTGTCCTCCTGAACACCGACATGGCGGCCCAGTGACCCCTCTGGAGCTTTGTGGACACGGTTGTTTTTAATGAAATGAGAAACATGTGCAGAGAGCAGGGAAACTGGGAGGGCAGCTCTGGCAATGCAACAAAGAGCAGGATGACCCCAGCACGCCGTACAGAAGCCTGGCCACGCCACAGGCCACTGCCCTCCTTACCTTTCCGAAACTCCCCTTCCCCAGCACCATGAGGAAGTTGAAGTCAGTGAGCTTCACTCTGTCCAGGTTGTTGGAAAATCTCCGGTCTTCTGAAGGGCTGATCACTTTCTTGGCGGGGCCAAGCTTGGCTTTCTAGACAACAAACAGACAGGTGAAAACAATCAGTCATTTTTTTTCCCAGGGGAGAGATGGATAGAAAATGCTGTAACTAAGTTTGATGCCAGCTGGGAGGTGGGAGGTGGCATGAGGCGAGAAAAGAGCCCGAGATGACATCGCTGTTCATACTTGGTGGTTGCACTCCCTCTGAGGCAGCGTTTGCAAAGCTCCAAAACATTGCCTTTACCTATGAACAGACAACTCTTTAAGTAGCTAATCGAGAATCCAGTCCCGGGACCCTGGCAAGGGCAGGCTGGTTCTCACTCTGGGATGTAGACGTTAACTTCTCGGGGAGCCAGGGCTGGCCAACAGTCATCATCATAAAAGAGAGAACCTATGTGCTGATGTTTTTATTTGTAGATTTTCCAATTTAAGTTGAATCTGCAGACGGAAACTTGTACCCCTGCAAGAAGGGAGGGCCGTGTCCTCAGGAGAGGAGCTGCTTAAGTGGCAAGCTGTGGGGATGATTTATTGCTACTTTAAAAGGCAAGGTAAGAAGAACAGAGTGGTTTTTTTTGTTCCAGTCATGAGAAGAAATGGTGATACGCCGAGAATCTGGTTTCACACCTTGGAAACACGCTCCGCCCTTGGAGCCTGAAGGGCACGTGGTCAGTGAGGTGAATTACCAAAAGGAGTTTCTGTAAATTAGACCCGGGCCACACAAAGACCCAGCAGAGACCGCACCCTCATCACGGGGGAGTCAGTCTCATGTTAAAGGTGAAAAGCAAGAGGCTCAGCAGAACAGGAGAGGCAACTGGGATGACAGGGGCACATCTCAACTGTCAGCCAAGGAGGCTGTGGAGAACGGAGGACCACCCCCCCCCCCAGGGTCTGCATTCTGAAATCTGCCTGACAGTGAGGGAGCCAGTGGCTGGGCGTGTCAGCAGCTGAGAAGGCCAGGGTCCGGGGGCCTGGCTGAACCTCTGCAGCCACAGCCACAGCCCCGGGCTGCAGGGCCAAGACGCAAGCTCTGAATACATTCTCAGTGAGAGGGCGCACCCCCTCCCCACTGCGGCAGATGCTGAGCTTCGGGGCAGGAGCCAGGGCAGCCCTGAAATCGACATGGTTCCCATGAACACGGTGTAGGAGGCAAAGAAGGTGCTGGTGAGGCCTCATTCGACAACCAAAGCTCTGCAACGTCAGTTCTTAGCGCTTGGGGGTGCGGGTGGGATGGGGGACGAGTGAGCTGCTCCGTGCTAGGCTCTGCTGAAGACACTGGGCCCCCATTGCCGTCTCTGGGGCCCCAGCCCTAACACATCGGTCGGCACAGGGTGCGCACTGAGCACTTCGGCTGAATGGATAAAGAAATGAAGCCGTACTGTGTCCGTCAGAGGCTGTGGTAAGAGGAGATGCTTTTCTCCGATAAAAACAACTGGCCCTTAGGGGGTCAAACCTCACAGTTTGACCACATGCTTGGGTGAAGTGCGCACACCCAGCTAAGCAGAGACATCAGAACATGGGGAAAGATGGCCCCCACTTTCCTGCCTCAAGGCCGAAAGTATTAAATACAGCTGGACTGGACCCCTATTGGCAGTGCATGGCGGGAACCGTGGGCATTAGGGGCCCCTGGGGACACCCATGCTCGGTCAAGGTGACGCCTGAACTGCAGTGACATGTGACCTGGCCTCCCCTTTGATGGAGGATGGGAGGAATTTCCAGACAGACTTGCGAAAAAGAACCAGGACTTGGAGTCCATCAGATCCTCCCTCAACTTCAGGACCAGCCCCCATTCTCCAAAGAGCCGCCCTGGGAGTGATTCCAAGTCGAGAAACTTCCTGGTTTGCATCTAACTTTAAATGAGCAATCGGGAAATTCAAGTGTGAGGTGAGGATACTAACTAAGCCACTTTATTCTGCTCTTGTGATTTATAAAGAGAAAGAGTTATCAGAGAGAGGCACAGAGGGGTCACTTTGATGCTGTCGGGAACTCCGCAGCAACATCTGGAAAGACCCAAGCACGAGGGGCCCGTGGCTCTGGGGCACTGGGAGCAGCTGCAGCGTGTTCACCTGTGCAGCTGCCCGTGGCCGGGACCGGGTGCCCCCGACCCATCGGCAGTCCTGAACGGTGACGGCGCCCTCGGCACACCCCACTGCCACAGGCCGCGTACGAGGGACCATGGGCCAATGTGCGTGGTGGCCTCCAGAACAGAGACGGGCTTTTCCACCCAAGCACCTGTCACCTGCACAGGGGACCGTAACCCAAGAGCTCTATGGGTTTTGTGCTATGACCTCAGTCTAGTGATAGGTGCAGGGTATTCCCCACAGTCAGGCCAGAGGGATGTAAATGCAAAAAAACACTTTTGCATTTGGGCACTTCTGGACCCCACTGCAATGCGACCTTAAACTGCCGTGGATCAACCTGTGAGGCTGCGGAGGAACAGCCACAGAGAAGACCCCTGCTCACAGGACGGAGGGGCCAAGCAGCTCAGGGGGACCCCGTGCAGATCCCCTGCCAACGGGAGGGGCAGTCCTCCCTCAGTCGAGTGTGGAAAGGCTTCTCAAATCCTTGTGGCAGAACATCCCTTCTTCCCGGACTTACTGGTCTGCCATCTGGTCCCAGACAGTAGGGGCCACCCCCTTCATCTTTGTACCTTTAGACCGAGCACTTCACCGGGTATGTAACTGCACACTCACCGAATATCTCATTCACTCATTCATTCCAAAACATATGACTTCATTAAACACTGGGGCTGGCAGAATTTAAGAGGCTAAATCATAAACAGCACAGTGAACTTGTAGCCAGCCCTGGTCAGACAAGCAGTTGCCACTAGGTGGGTCCTTTCAGAGACTGGCCCCCGGGCCCTGGGTTCAGGTGGTCACACGCGAGCCTGTCTCCTTCCCACAGCAATCCCTGGCCGTCCTGGGGCAGCCACCGCCCGGGGGAGGGAGGGCGGTGAGCCACGCAGTGACCCTCCCCAGGGGGCGCGCAAGGCTGGCAGCTGGGCCAGCCAGCCGGGGGCCAGGCCCTGGGAGGGTTTCTCCGCAGGGGCCCTCCTCAGAGCAGACGTCCTGCCCGCCCCGACCCAGCCCTGATCTCTGACCAACGGGCGGCAGGGCACCTCATTCTTCGAGCGTTTCAATGAGCTGCTTGGCAACTGGTCTCCCTGTGGGCACAGACGCCCGCTCTTCCCGGCTTGCAGGTTGCTCACCTGACTCTGGCGGCCATGGATCATTCAGACTTCGCCCGGAGTGCAACTAAAACCAGCACGTGGGACGACTGGGCTGAAGCTGACGGCCGAACCACAGATGTTCCGGCGAGCCCATGCGGGCATTGGGATAAAAATAAGCCTACTGACATGCTTCACTGCAGCGACACAAACCCTGACCACACAACCCGGGGTCGGACCACGGGGCAGGGAGGACAGGGTGTCTCTGGAAGACGGACAGAACATCAGCTGGGGCTGGGGACCTAAAGCGCACAGCAGTCCCCCGGTAATGCTCCTGCCGGTAACTCTCCTGCCGATAAACCCCAGCCCTTGAGCTCCACCTCACTCATCTCCAACACTCGCGTGAGGCCCGTTGATGGAGCGCCAGGCTCGGGCAGCAGCCGCTGGGGCGGAGATCCCGGCTGCTGCACCGTGCCCCTCCAGTGAAGCCCTCCTCCACCCGTCCCCAACACAAGAGTGTGTGTGGGGGGGGAATGCCCTCTTAGCTGTGATAGTGTCTGTTAACTTCTTTAGAGAGAAGCGGCCGGAGCGTGGGGTTTGAGTTCCGACCTTACCACACACGCGGCAGGGGCAGGGGCGGGCCTCACCTCCAGCTAATTAAAATGGCATAGAAAGTTCTTAGAGAGAAACTAAAAATGGTGTTGTAAAATGGACTAAAAATGACTTCACATGCTGAAGATTTAGCACGCTGTTTTTAAAAATCGTACGAAAACTCAGCACGGCTTATTAGCTATGACGAAACACCTCGGACTTCCAGGTTCCTTGGAAGATGGCTCATCAGCACCAGGCCCAGTCTGGCATCATGCTGCCCATGGGATCCCCAGGGTGTGGGAATGACCGGCGTTCCCTGCTATCGGAATACTTACTAACAATCAGCACGCGTCTCATTGTACACAAGATACATCCTTGAAAAGCCACAACAGTGTGCAGTCACTGAAGGTGTTCCCTGCTTAAAGGACCCTGATGGTGGTGTCTCTGTAAAGCACAGCACGCAGTGAACCCCAGTAGTGCAAGCCCAGACTCTCGGGGGCTGGAGTCCTGGCGTGTAGGTGTGTGTGCCCCCGTGTCCAGGGCGCTGTCTGTGTGAACTTCGAGAGGCTCCACGTTTGGTGCACGGCTAGGGGGCTTTTCAGATTACAGCTGAGTGGTGGATGCACCAGAGGACCACGCTGCATAGCTATGATGATCAGATTGCAGGAGATATTAATTTTCTACTAGGCTGGACCATTTATTTGCAATAGCTGAAATGTGACAATCTGACTTACACGAATGGCAATTCCAAATGGCTTAACTTAATACCGTAGATACTCTGCAATGTTTAGGTTTTGCATAATGATTATATGTTAGCTCTGGGATCCGGGAAGACAGAATAAAGACACAGGGAAAGTGGGGAGTCGTAAGTCACCAGCCTCCTAATACAACAGCCCCCTGCCTAGCAATCCTTCTAAGAAGTGCCGACTTGTCTTCAGTAGGAACCCAAGCCCAGAGACGCGTCCACAGCAGGAATGCAGAGACCAGTCATTGCCAGCCTCCCAGGGGGCCTGTCCCGTAATCACCGAACCTTTGGGTAGCCCTCAGAAGAATGCTGTACTGTTTAACTCCATTCCACTATAACTGTGTCCATTCATACCTCTTCTGAGAAAGTTTCTTTGGCAATACTATATCTCTTTGCCTAACAGAAAGTACAGCTTTGAAGAATATATGTATCAAAGATGTTTGCAGATTGTAGAGAGATGAACCTGAAACAGTAGGATTCTACTTCTAAGATTCTGAGGGCAGATGGCCAACAGTGAGCAACTGTAACAGCAGA